AGTTAAATTACATTCACACAGCAAACACAGTGAAACGTGTTCTGTCTTACCAAAGGCTTGGAGACCAACAATGAGAATCAACACAGTTTTGAATGAGGCCATCATCTCTTCTGGTTTTTGAGGCTCATAGTTCAATATGTTCCTATTTCTGATCTATTGAGGGAACAGTGGGTGCAGCTTATATTTGAGAGGGTCCACCTGCCTCCTGTAATCTCCACCCAACCAGATTTTGAAGGCGTTGCCTAACGGTGACCGTGAGCCAGCAAGTTACAATAAGCTGTTTGTTTATCTCGTTATCTCTGTGTCCATCAATCAGGAAGTTATTTTTTGCAATTAAAAAAGTTTCATAACCATTTTCCTCATCAGAATAGAAAAGCTCACCTTTTATAATTTATTTGCAATCAAACGTAGTTAAGTACTGACAGATTATGTGTTAGTTTACATGGATGGCAGCATCATTAGTATATCCTTGTTCTTTCCACTCTTTTCCACTATGCTTCCATCAGATCTTTGTTTCTGCATGTTAGACGGTGAGTGTTTGTGTGTTTGTGAATCAGGGATGTGATAACCTCCAGAAAACTCAAAAGGCAAATAGACTGAAAGGGCCAAATCTTGTCTTCCAGGAACAATACTTGCTACTCAGTTTTTTGTTATTTGTGGTAGGACTTCAACTTTTCTTATAAAGACACTGTAGATCTCAATGTAATTATGTAAATGTATGAAGTCAACAGTAAAAATGACCTCATTACACATAGTATTCATCTGTTTACTGTCTAAGATACATTCCTCCACACACCTTGTCTACTCTGCTCATCGTTTCCGCATTACCCTGTCAAACTCTTCAGTCCTGTACGCCTGCTCTGCACCTGCCAAATGGGTTGAGGAATTGAAGGGAAGAACCTCAACAATGCTGCGCATCAATCAGAGGTCGCCATCAAATGGAAAACAAAAAATGAGGTGAAAGGAAGGTGAGATGTCACACATCACATTACATACGAGGTTGGTGTCACAAAAGATATATTTCAAACCCAAACTAATATATCCCCTTCAGATGATCAACCAGCACGTCTACGAAGAGATCCTGCGGCGTTTGCTTCATTCAGAGCTCGAGAAGATGCGAGAGTTGTGGCAGGACCAGTGGTGGCTGCTTCACCATGACAACGTTCCTGCTCACAACGCCCTGAACATCCAACAGCTCCTGGCTGAGAAGAACATCTCCATGATGAAGCAACCTCCCTACTCACCCCACCTGGCTCTTGTTTCCTCTTCCCTAAGCTCAAGGGGGTCATCAAGGGGACCCGTTTTGAAGACGTGGACGACATCAAGATGACTGTGCCGACGGAGCTGCAGAGGATCCTTCCAGGAGTGCATGGCGGCGTGGCAGAGAAGGCTGGGGAAGTGTGTTAGACTCCAGGGGGATTACTTCAAAGGGGAAAACTTGTAGTTTGTAGTTTGTATTTGAAATCTATCTTTTGTGACACCAGTCCTGAAACATTTCTGACACACCTCGTGTGTGCTCCAATATCATCAGAGTCCTAAACCTCCATGCATCACTGTCAGGACTATGCATTCACTGTGGTCGTCCTGGCCAGGTTCATACCAAACATGATGGGCCCCATCTGACCACAACAAATTTATTTTAATCTTATCAGACCAAAGAATGCGCTGCCATCATTCATCAGGCTTCTATTTCTATTTTTTTTAGGAAACTTTAATCTTGTAGTTATGTGTCAAAGAATGAAGAACAACACCAGACTAAACCAGACTAAACAGGAGAACGTGCTCTGCGCCTGTCTCTTGCCTCCTCCCCAAAACTCTACAACAGAGGTGGACAGTGCAATGTTGAGCTACAGAGCACCAAATTAATGGGAAATACAATAAGTTGATATAAAACCAGGACTTATTGCTTAATAATCTAGTATTTATGAGTTCTCTGGGGTTTATTTGCCATTTCAGGTAACCCTGTATGCCTGGACTGCACCCTTTAACCAAACTGCTCTAATGTTTGATCAACCCAGTGATGCAGTGGTGTGGTCACTGTAGGCTGGCTGAATTAAACAACCCATACCACCCTAAATGCAGGAAGGTCATTTGATGTGCTGGCTAATGGCAGTGCCAAGGCCCGAGTTTGCGGATACCATGCTGCCTGTGTCAAGTTTTATACTGTCCTCAAACACAGCGATTTGCTAATGTTCAAATCAGGGTAAGAGGCGACAAATCACCTGTTGACAGTGATACATGGTGGTGCTCAACATTAATCATTGAGCTCTAGCTAGATACCAATGTTTATGCAGCTTTCATCTGGTTGTACCTGTTCTCCTGTACCTGTAGTGTGTGTGTAAAGCTTCCCTGTTGAAATCCTTTCAGAATACTTTCACTGTCAGCTAAGTGCCAGCAAGTCAGCCACATGATATGCAGGAAACTGGATGCCAGAATTATATCCCTCTGCCAGTGCAAAAACGTTCTGGCTGAATTTGATGAAACTTGGTGGTGGAGCCTTTGTAAAGGAAGAAACTGTTACATTTTGGTGCAGATCTTTTGTGAAAATTGCAAGATAAGGCATCGGCCTTGGTGGAGAACTGTGTAATAAAATGAAAGAAGTGTTTTTTAGAATTTGTCTGTGCTCTGAACTTAAGCGTAATGGATTTGGCTGGTTTAATCCAATCTAGGGTCAAGACACTAGTCACAGGCAAACAGTGCTGTTGGGATTCTGAAGTCTCTCGTTTCTGTAGAATTTTTATTTTGTTGATTAACATCACGTCTGAATAAGTTCTAATTTAAGGTATTCTAAACAACACCCATCATACTGTAAACCCCCAGATCATACTTACTTATTCCATCAAAGTTATTCTTTTCTAATTCTTATTTCCAATTCAGAACACAGTTTTATTGCAGATAGAAGAATCCTCACTTGCCTTTTTCAGGGCATCCTGATCCATCTCGGCGTCATCAGGTTCAACAGATGAAGTCAGAGCTGCAGGGGAAAACGTCATTGTTNACAGTGCTAACCACTGAGCCAGCTTGAACGGATATGACACATTTTACAATTACGTCTATGCTTATGCTTTTATAAATGTAAACAATGCGCTTTAACTGACAGGAACAAGGTCTAAAGATTTCCACTTTTGACTTATTAAAAAGAACATGCACTGTTTATATAATCAAATACCAAAAAGTTAATTGTGCATAAATAGCAATCCTCTGAACATTTTTACACTCACCTGGATGAGCTTATTCGAAAGCAGCTCTTGAAAGAATTCAATTACTTCGGTGCACTCCTGGCAGACTTTCCCAGAATGAACCTAAAGTCACATAGTAAAAATTCAAAATTGATTTTTTTTTCAGAATAAGCTCTAAGTTGTGGCTGGAACGGGGTCACTACAATCTAAACCTTAATCCTAATTCTAATTTTTGTACTTTATTCCAGAAAATACGTTATAGTTTCCATGCACAGCTTTATATCTGGAACAAAATATTAAGCTTACCTTCTGATCTTTTGGTTGTTAGATGAA